TAAAAGTTATGATGCTGGAAGATGAGCCCCTCAGGTCGGAAGGCGTCCAACATGCTACTGGGGAAGAGCGGAGGGCAAGTACAAGTAGATCCAGAGCTGATGAAGTGGCTGGGCCAAAGCCGAAAGGACACTCAGTTGCGGATATGCCTGGAAGCGAAAGGAAAGTCCAATGCTGTAAAGAAAAATATTGCATAGGAACCTGGAATGTAAGAACCATGAACCTGGGTAATTTGGAGGTGGTCAAAAAAGAAATGGCAAGAATAAATATTGACATCTTGGGCATCAGTGAACTAAAATGGACGGGAATGGGCGAATTCAGTTCAGATGACCATCACATCTACTACTGTGGGCAAGAATCCCGTAAAAGAAATGGAGTGGCCCTCATAGTCAACAAAAGAGTGGCGAAAGCTGTACTGGGATGCAATCTCAAAAATGATAGAATGATCTCGATACGAATCCAAGGCAGACCTTTTAACATCACAGTAATCCAAGTTTATGCACCAACCACTGGTGCTGAAGAAACTGAAATTGACCAATTCTATGAAGACTTACCACACCTTCTAGAAATGACACCAAAGAAGGATGTTCTTCTCATTCTAGGGGATTGGAATGCTAAAGTAGGGAGTCAAGAGATAAAAGGAACAACTGGCAAGTTTGGCCTTGAGATCAAAACGAAGCAGGGCAAAGGCTAATAGAGTTCTGCCAAGAGAACAAGCTGGTCATCACAAACAAACAGCAAACCCACACATAGAGCCTCAAGGCAACAGCTCTCTCACCTGCTGCTGCTCCCCAGCAACTGGTATGGAACTTCCATATAACCAACAAAATCAAAATATCTACCCTCCATGAATTAATTTGCCTTTTAAAGGCACATAAACTCATAGCTGTTATATCATAGAGTGGCAGTGGATTTCATAGATCATGCATTGTAGACTTGAATTTATAGTTTTATTTGTTATCACCTTGCACACTATGGTTGAACGTTCATCAACATATTGATAGTAGCCCCACTCCAAATCTCCAGATAACATTTCTGGGCTTTTTATTATTGTTTTTGTATTACTGGTGTATTTTTGTTTCTAGCTATTATATTGATATTTACTTAAATGTTTTGGTGGGGTTTTTTGTTCTCTTGTTATGATTTGAGCTCAGTTTTGCTGCTTGAAAAGCAGGATACAAATATGAAATCAAATAAAAATAAATAAAATGAAAGCTATTGTTACAAATGCTGGGAGAATATCAACCACATGCCGTAAACAGACGTTGGAATTTGCAAACTCTCTCACAAAATCCAGAGTAAAGAGCTTTGTGCTGCACGATTTATGATGCCTTAGTCTTCCAAGAACAAAGTTGTTACATTTGGCCTGAAAGTAGGACACTGACAAATTATGTAACAAATAACCAATCATCCCAACAATAACATGTTTATGCTCTGCAATTCCTATTGTAAACAGGCATGAAGGAGTCCAATAAAAACGCTGTAGATGAATTAGGAAACTACCAAATTCAAAACTGATTTTTCATCATGTAAACTAGCTTATATGGATCCCAATATTTATAGTCTTAAGTAACAGTAAACTATTGTACCTACAATTCCAGATACTGCTGCTTGGTACTGTAGAGGAAAAAGAGGCATATTGTGTACAGAATGAAGCAAGGCCAGCTGTACTCAAACTATGATCCAAGGACCACCAGGATGAAAATAGCAGTAAAATGCTGGTGTGTCCTAGGTTAGCAATCTACCTAACAGAAATCCCACTGAACTCAATGGAACTTACTTCTGAGCAGGCGTGTTAAAGTCACAAGCCTCTGTCTTCAGCACCACAAGCATCTGTAACTGTAATGTCAAAGGAACGCCCAGCTGCTTGCACTCACAGAGAAGCATCCATTACTCCCCCAGTGCCCACCCCCCCTAATACTCTTAAGAGGGTCTCTTCTCCATTCTTCAGAGAGTGGCTGGAAGTAGGAAGGCATAAAAAGTCCTCTTTTCCTTCCTTTCTGCAGTTTTAATCTGAATTCTTAGGCGCAGTACTGCACCCAGAGCTCAGAAACTGCTCGCACTAATGAAATTCCCTGTTGCAAAATGTGCCTAGAACAACACTGTTTCAAACACTGAACTCCCTGGATCCATACAGTCATTCCATCCTGGCTAGATCTTATAAGCCATGAGCAGCAATGGTCAAGAACGTGTGGTGAGCACCCTGCAAGCACCCTGTTGTATCCCCAGGCAGCAAAAGCATAAAAATAAATAAAAAATGATTCCACAAGATGTTACTAGATGGTAACCTTAACAGGAGGGGTGGGGCAGGCACTTGTCTATCCCCCTCCATAACTGGTCCCAGAGCCAGCAAGACTTTGGTAGAATCATAGAATAGTAGAGTTGGAAGGGATCCCAAGGGTCATCTAGTCCAACCCCCTGCAATGCAGGAATCTCAGCTAAAGCATCCAGGACAGATGGCCATCCAAGCTCTGCTTTAAAACCTCCAAGGAAGGAGAGCCCACAACCTCCCGAAAGAGACAGTTCCACTGTCAAACAGCTCCTACTGTCAGAAAGTTCTTCCTGATGTTTAGTCAGAATCTCCTTTCTTATAACTTGAAGCCACCGGTTCAGTCCTGCCCTCCAGAGCAGAAGAAAACAAGCTTGCTCCGTCTTCCATGTGACAGCCCTGCAGATATTTGAAGATGGCTCTCATATCTCCTCTCAGTCTCTTGTCCAAGCTAAACATACCCAGCCCCTTCAACCGCTCCAAATAAGGTCTGGTTTTCAGACCCTGGATCACCTTGGTTGCCCCACTATGCACATGTTCCAGCGTGTCAACATCCTTCTTAAATCATGCTAGATTTTCCTCCAGCCTGGTGTTGTTGTTGATGAAGGTCATGTCAGTCCAGAATAAAACACCACTCTTCCATGATTTGATCACAGATCAGGGGACCAATCTGGAATGCATCAGCAAGACCGGGGGGGGGGGGGAATGAGTTGGAGCAGTGGCCTAACACAGGCCACTGGCCTAACACAGATTTGTCCATCCAGATACTTGAACACCATCACACCTTGGAGAGCCAAACCCAAAATTTGTAAAATGAAACTAAAGCATCCAGGCAAAAGAACCTAACAAAAACACCATACTTCTTTCTTCCTTCCTTCATTTACATACCTTACAATCAAATAGGCATATTACAAAGAAACATGAAGCCTTGGATTGTTTGAAGACCACGTGATACTCCTGGACTTTGAACTTTTAATTACTAGATGAAGCCGCGTACAAATCCACTGAAGCACATTTGAATACTATGACATTTCAGTACTTAAATTTCAGAACTAAAAGGAGGCCTTTTTCACAGAATGTGTTACCAGAAGAAACAAAACCAGTTTTCTGCCCCCAAAATCTCTTTCTATCTCTGTGTGTATCAGTGCCTTATTTAGTGACATTAATAGTCTCTCATATAACTAATAGAAGAATGGTGTTACTTTCACACTTCCAGTGACCAAAATTATACATCACATGAACTTTCACCTAGTTCTATATAAATCCCTAATCTAATTATGTTCTTGCACTGAAAAACAGATTTTCATAAGCCACATTACCCCAGTACAACAGTACACCTTCTTCCATGACAATGACAAAGATTTTTATTGTTCTTAAAATAACTGTCTCTCTTAGTCTAGTGGTCTTCTTCCAACAGTGGTCAAACAGATGTCCATGAGAAATTCATAATCAATCCATATTTGAAGTGTCAAATGAGGACATTAAAATGAAGGACCTATTGACGTTCTGTAGTGGCAGCAGGGCTATATGCTGCTTTAAAATAGGAACTGCAGAATTTGGATATTTAACTTTGGTATAAAAATGCCTGGCATATAACCATAGTGGAAAAGCTTAACACATAAAATAGGAATATTAAAAGGAACTCAAAACCCACATATGGTGGAAATTCATGGTATATAACAAGGGCTGAAAAACACTCCATCACCTGCATCTTCAAAATATTATCTTCATGATATTTTGTATCTTAATTGTACTGCTGACCATCTGTACAGTCAAATTGGAGGACTATTGGATACTCCTAGGCTGTACCTATGTGATGGATTTAATTACATGCTGGGGCGGGGGGAAGGATAATATCATAATTATCCCTTTAATACCAGGAATTCGTTGTAAGTGGGTGGGAGAGATGTTTATTGGTTGCAGTTTTGTGTTGTATATTTTAAAACTAATAAAAAAAAATCATAATCAGAGCAGTCATGTTTTGTTATCAGCTGATAGTCAGAGATACTTTTGATAATTTGATACTTTTGATAATTTGATAATCAAAGCATTTAAACAGCATGTAGTGAAATGAAAATTAAGAATACTATATAAAAGTTCTGGATTTGGTGACTTTAGTATTTCCTCATGAAAATAATCCAGGTCAAGTATACATCAAATGTTTATATTGGTGCAAATGAAACAAACCTGCTTTTTGCTTAAGAACTGTTTAAAATAAAAAGGCTGAAGCCCTCAAAATTCATGAACAATCAGTTGTGTTTCATGGTGCTCCACACTTTTCTTGCTAGCTTTTTTCCTTTGATACATACAGTTCCTTGTTCTGAGAGTAGAGTATGTGGCAAGAGAAAAACAGATTCTTTCACTTATACTCTTGGATTCTGCTCCCCTGCAGACTTCATGTTTAAAAGCTGGCAGGGGATTTGATGAGAATGCTTAATTCTGAGGGGCTGGAGCATAGGATCCTTGTCAGTTTCAACTCCTGCTGTCTTGCAAGGATGGAACTGGCAGAGGAGCAAAGGGTTCACACAGCAGGCCTGATACAAAACTTAGGTCACATGCACAATGAAATGCAACACCCCAGATGCGTCTCTCTTTAGCTTCCCATTCAACAGTTAACATACTGCATACCTAAGAGGCAACCTGTTATGTTGCACCAGAAGATAAAACACACACATGTCAAATTTAAGGTCTTTTAAAATATGGGCAAATAAAGCACACACAGTTCTCATGCCCAAGTGTATAAAACAGAATACTGTATCTTTATTATACTGCCATCCTGTGGCTGCTTTGGCTCATATACTAAGCCTCGTCTCCTTCTTGCACTTCTGTTTCTGCCATTTTTCTCCAGCTTGTTCAGATGCTCTTCAATTACCAACTTTGAATAAATCTTTCACATTGTCATTCTTCCTTCATTATTAAAAGTATTTCCTTTAAGTAAAAGAAAGCAAGTACACACATCCATTTGCTACATACACTGTTCATTGCTTCTTAGGAAGTGATGGGGAAAGTGCATTCTTCCCTTGCAAAACCTAGCTACCCTGGTGTAGCACAGTGGCTACGAAGTCACTATCATGAACTCACTATGTGGCTTCAGGCAAGCCACTCTCTTGTTCTTCCCTCTGCAATGTGGAAGAATAAAGACAACTTACAGCAGTGCTATTCAAAGTAGTGGTCCACTGACAAGTGCAGTCCATAAGCCACTGGCTTCTGGTCCACACCAACTTCACTGCAGTCCATGTTGGGTGTGACACTTCAAGGACAAAGTATGGCACCAGTCCCTGGCACATTGGTGGGGTGGGGAATTGCTGGTCCACCACAGAGTTTGAGAAGAATTGCTGTACAGGCTGTTGCGAGGATTACAAGCACTGTAGGACGTGAAGATGAAGTGTTAAAACACTTGAAACTGCTGTGCAAACATTGAGCATTATTACAGCATGATCCTATACAAGTCTATTAAAAAGTAAGTCTCCATGAGTTCAGTGTGCCTTACCTCCAAGGAAGGTGGGTAAAGGAATGCAGCTTATTATATCATATTCCCCTCTTTCCCCCCTTAAAAATAAGAACCTTTGCTGATTTTGTGGAAAGGTTTGTTGTACATTTGCTAACAGTCATTCCCCGCACATTTGGCTCTTTCATGCATGCCTCTTTCTTTTCTTTCCTGTCATCCCTTTTACTGTCATGTTTGAGATTGTAAAATCTTTAAAGCAGACACCTATACTTTTGTTGTTCCTTATTTTACTCTGTAAACATACTATGTAAATTGATCTCACTGCATACATTAATGACAATTGTAATCAGGCACAAGAGCTGAACTGGCCACTCATTCAAAAAATAAAGGTAGGGCTCATGTTTACAGCTAGGTATCTTAGCATTTGAAACTGACAGTACAACCATGTTCCTTTGCTGAGCAACTGAAACTCCTACGCTGTAACAATATAAAAGTGATCAAACGACAATCCTATGTACCAGAAGCAAATGAGGAAGAAAAGTAGCTTATTTTCTTTCAAAGTGAAAGGTTGATCATAGGGAAACATTTTTTACATCATTTACAATAGAAAATAGCAGAACAATTCAAGTAAGGCTGTGCTTATTACTGGCATTTGGGACTTGAGAACACTGGCGGTAAGTACAGCTCAGTTATTAAATCTTAAGAATGTAACAGATTATGCTTAGCTTCTGCAATGCAATGCAAAGCATATCTTATCTCATTTCTGGGAAGGAAGCAATGCTTTTATTGCATGATTTTACCATTTTGTGGCTATTTCTGAAGAGCAGAATACGGCTAATCCCATGTTTGCATTTTAAAAAGAAGGGAAAAAATAGTTGGGTGGTTTCAGGTTGCACAGAGTAGAACAGGCTATTTAATCCTTTGTCGCTCAAAATCAGCAGCCCAGCATTTCTCACACAAGAGGGGGTGGGGGAAGGATACAATATCCCCCCCCCCATATTTTCCCTGATGAATCCCACAAACATAAGCAAATGTTACCTGTCTTGCCTCAAAAGGCACAATCTGGCAAGTCAAATTGCTTGAAAGAACTCATTTCTCTGCCGAAGAAGCTACAAACTGCTTTTTACCACTTATTAGAGCAAAAATATGTGCACACTAGTGTGAAGCAAGGACAGAGGTACACACTGAAAACTAATCCACCATTTCGGATGCTCCTGCTATTCTATGTCTGTCGGAGCAGAGGCCCAAAGCATCACTAATCCCTTTCTCCTCACCAAGATGGGCAGCAGTGTCACCTCCATTTAGGGAATAAGGATGCACTGGACCCCATGATAAAACAAGAACTTTAGCTGAAAATGATTCTTAAGAAGCATCAGCACTGCCAGAAAGCACAGCCCCATCCCAGAGCCCCAACTGGGTGGGGAAATGTAGGAACTTTTAACTGCTGCTCCACCAGTATGGAGTATACCTGCCTGCAGATTTACCTGCCTACCTTACCTTTAACATAAAATACCTACCTATTATTGCAGAATGAATTTAAGAATTTTAGATGCTGAAAAAGTGTGCCTCGGATATAAAATATCTGGAAGAGCTGCTGCAGTATGAATAACTCTGGCATTTAAAGCTGAGTTTCGTTGAATATGTGCAGAGTTCTTTTTCCTTCACTGGGAGACAATTTTTTAAATAAGAACTGAGTAACAATGTTTCCCTGAATGCCCTTCCTTTAGGAAATAAGTGCTTCATTTATCCAAAGACTATCTGGATATACCATCAAATCTGTACTTCAGTGCTTCACCATAAGTCACCTTACCAAAGGTGACAGTGGCTCCACACCAGCTCAGAGAGTGACATTCCGGGGCGTGAGCGGCAAGAGTCCTGGGCAGGAACGCTGAGATGGGTACGGGTGCTGGTGCTGGTAGCAGAGGCAGTCCAAGAGGCCAAAGTGAGGGAGTCCAGCGGAGGGAGCAGGGGCAAGAGGCAGTCCAATTGGTGGGCCCATGGTCAGGAAGCAGCAGCAAGTCAAACAAGGGTCAGAGGCAAGAGGAAGTCCAGAAGCGTAGCAGACTCAAGGTGGGTGAGAAGTCCAGCCAGGCAAGGTCACAGGAGCTCAACGAAAGACCGAGTTGCTGTGGCAAAGACCAAAAGTGAAATGCAGGCCTGATCTAGCTCTCCTGGGCTTGCTCCCAGCTGCAGTGCATCTTGTCAGCTGACCGTGCTTGCTGGCCTGCACCTGACTCATAAAAGGTTGGCACAGCCAAGGCCTGGCTCCCACAAATCCTCAGAGTGCTCAGGGCCTGCTTCCTGCAAAACCTCAGTGCTCATTACAGGCAGCAGGCAGTGAGAGGCCCAAGTATTCATTGGCCTTGTTAGATCTGCTGGGAAGATGACAAAAACATGCCCCTTGAAAATGGTGCCACATACCTCTGTGGTCTTCTATGAGATAGCACAGTGTGCATACACTGATATTCATAAAAATGCACAGCCTTTACATGTTTGTGCATTGCACAGCACATGTGGCTACCATCTTCCATGTCATATTTTAGTATTACATGAGAAAGAAAGCTCAAAAATGCACTATACCAGACAAAAGAACAGCTCAGCTGCCATTTTTCTGGCACCATAGCCAATTCTAGCAACTAGCCCAGAGGGTAAAATTCTGGTCCAGAGGTCAGCAAACTTTTTTGGAGGGGGTCGTTCACTGTCCCCCAGACCTTGTGGCGTGCCAGACAGCGCACACACGGAGGCGCACATGGCGGAGGGGCTTCTCTCTTTCCCCAGCCCCTCCCCTCCCCCTGCCTACCTATGCTGCTGTCAGTGCTGCGCTCTCCCAACTGCGGCTCCTGTGCCCTTGCGAGGGCTGCTTTCAGGCTGCTCGTCCCGCTGCCGCCACTCGCAAGGACAGGCATAGGAGCCGCAGTTGAGAGAGACACTGCGCTGTGCTCTGCCAACCGCTGCTCCTGTGCCTGCCCTTGCAAGCGGCAGAGGCTGTTGGCAGCGGCGGAGGGATGAGCAGCCCAAAAGGGATGGCTGGCTCCAGAGAGGCGCTGCCCAAAATGGCGCTCAGCCAGCTCAGCCCAGCCCACTTCCTCCACTACGCAGGGCGGGGAGAAGGGTGCGGAGAAGCCAGGCGCAGGAGAGAGGAGGCGCACGGTGTGTGTGGGGGGGAATGGTGCCCCAAAAAAATGAATGGGAAAAAATGAACAAACAGAACCGCCGATCTACGGAACGTCCACAGGCCGGATCCTGAGGGCAATTGGGCTAGATTTGGCCCGCGGACCATAGTTTGCCGACCCCTGTTCTGGTCAATCTCGCTGGGTGGCAACCCTAGTGGCTTTCTTAGGATATACGTATATCATCACCAGGGACGCGGGTGGCGCTGTGGGTAAAAGCCTCAGCACCTAGGGCTTGCCGATCGAAAGGTCGGCGGTTCGAATCCCCGCGGCGGGGTGCGCTCCCGTTGCTCGGTCCCAGCGCCTGCCAACCTAGCAGTTCGAAAGCACTCCCGGGTGCAAGTAGATAAATAGGGACCGCTTACTAGCGGGAAGGTAAACGGCGTTTCCGTGTGCGGCTCTGGCTCGCCAGAGCAACGATGTCACGCTGGCCACGTGACCCGGAAGTGTCTCCGGACAGCGCTGGCCCCCGGCCTCTTAAGTGAGATGGGCGCACAACCGTAGAGTCTGTCAAGACTGGCCCGTACGGGCAGGGGTACCTTTACCTTTATATCATCATCATCAATCTTTATTACGGTCCAGAGACCCAACAAATCATTACAAAACAATACACAATTCATACAGCCTACCTCCAGGTTAAACGAGCATTTTGTTTGGAATATAGGGCTCATTTGATCTTGCAACCACCGATAAAAACTTTGCCACTGCTAATGTTCTAACATTTGTCCGGTCCGATATACATATATTACAAATGTAAATTACTTTGCCTTCCATGGCTTCCAACCATGGAACTTAGGAAATCATGATTCTCTAATAAGAAACCCTAAGTAAAGAAAGAAGTTCTGCTCCTATAGTTCACATACAGAAGCCCTGACAACTAACCCAGTTCATATCTGGCTTAAATTTGTAATTTGTAAATTAAATTTGTAACTTCAAAGATTCCAAATAAGGGGAGGAAATAACTAACTAGGAATTTATTTTTTGTGTGTTTCAGGATTGTCCAACTTACAGGAGCAATATTTTCATACACTATGAACCTAGAAACAGAAACATTTTGCCAAGAATACCTAGCACATAAAGGTACAGTAGTAAAACCATATTACTGGCTAACAGTGAGCCAAAGCTGTGTCAAGTGCCCCTATCACATAAAAACAGGTGAAGAAGCAAGAGTTCCTTATGTAGAATTTCATAATGCCTTTGGATTCCCATACAGATCAATGCCTTCCCATAATAAACACCTTCTATTTTATGAATTGAGGCATTCATCAGGGAAATTAATTCAAAAAGGCCATGCTACAAATTGCACAGAGTACAACATTCATCCAGAATCAATGTTATTTGAAATAGGCGGTTATCTAGATTCAGTTGTGCACAATTATGAGAATGCTGGATACATAATTATTTATTCAAACTACTCACCTTGTAACGAGGCAGAGCATGGCTGCATAAGCAAAATGTACAACTTCCTGATGAAGTATCAAGACATTACACTCTGCATTTATTTTGCACAGCTGTACCACACAGAGGAGGATTTCCCAGTATCCACATGGAACTGTGAAGCTCTGCAAAGCCTGGCTAGCATGTGGCCTCAGGTGACATTGAGCCCACTGTGTGGTGGACTTTGGCATTCCCTCCTAAACAGTTTTGTGACTAATATATCACACCCAAGTCTCCATCATCCAATTTTGCCTGCAAGAGTATGGGCTGACAGACAAAATGCACAACAAATTAGCAGCATTACAGGAATGAAATTTCCTTTTATGAAGACCCTGCCTCAGCCAGGCTATGGACACTCAACTGTTCTGCCATCTCTGCAAAAGTACTTTTTGCCCAGTTCAGACTCTCAGCATCCAGCACCAATGATGAATGGTAGATTGCTCCCTCTGGGGATACCACCCCCCCACTCAACACCTCCCATTGATGTTTTTTCCAGTTTTAGAAAGCAGCCACTATACCCTCAACCTAAAAATATTGTCAGACACTTAAAAATGCCAGATAAGTCATTAAGCAAAGCTAAACGTTTGCAAGTAATTCCAAACGGAAGATCTGTTTACATGGAAAGAATTACTGAACGAGTTTAAAGTATCAAGTCTAAAGAGCATGAACTGCACAGAAACCGGATCCAATTCACCTCATTCAAAAATTGAATGCAGGGCTGACAATTCACTCGGCATGTAAGCAGCTCAAATGCTTATACACATGTTTTTCATATGTACTGTGGCTATTATGCCAGCATAGGAAACACCACTCAAGCAGCTGAATGAAGAGACTAAGGCAATCCTGCTAGTCAGTGTGGCTACTGGACAGCGTCATCCTCCATTTTCTGTTAGAGTATTAAGACAACTTTTCATCTTCAGGATATTTCCTTTATAATAATTATTTTGTACTGATTTGTTGTCATTGTTCTATGCAGTTTTGGCTGTAAACTTGTACCTGCCAACAGAAAGCTGGGATATAAATGTAATAAAATAAATCCAATCATCAATCATGCTGCATGTAAATGACTAATATTCAATTCTTCTATCATCTCCAGAAAATACCTTAAAGTCAGCCCAGACATCATCACAGTTATTTGGAAATTCAATTTCTTTTTGCTACGCCTTGCTTTTTAGTAGATATCACAGGTAGCTCTTCAAACTTCCCTTTGAAATTATTAAAAGTACTTGCAAGCATAATGGTTTGGAGTGGGTGGATACCTATTCCTGGAATAAACTTGCATCTGATGAAGTTCAATCAAGTCCAGGGGTCGGCAAACTAGGCTTCGTGGGCCAAATCAGGCCCACGAGGGTCGTTAACCTGGCCCGGCGGCCGCTGTCTGAGCTACCTGGAAAAAAAGACAAAAAAGAGGGAAGCCGCCGCACGTTCTTGCGTGAAGTCCTCCTTCAGGAGGTGCAGGAGGAGGAAAAGGAGGAGGCAGAGGTGCCGCCGGCGGAAAAAGAGGCACCATCCAGGGCAGGGGAGGGGGCGAGAGATTTACGGGTGGAGGGAAAAGAGTGAGGGTGGGGAGAACAGGTAGCTCTCCCCACTGGCTGAACAGCGGCGCTCTGGCCTCTGCTGCCGGTGGGAGGGCCCCCATCCCACCCCCAAAGCATGGAAGAGGTGCCAGTAGCAGGAGGCCCAGCAGGCCACAACGCAGCACCAAACCCAGGCGAGGAGCCCCCCATCCAAACAATGACTATCATCAGTGCAGGTAAGAATTTTTTTTTAATTTTAATTTTTATCATCTACAATACTGTCTGGCCTGCCTGGTGCTCTTGCATGGAATGGGGTCTGTTAAAATGCACCTGTGGGTTATTTGTGGGGCCTGCCTGATGTGCATAGGAATTCATTCATTCCCCCCCCCCCCGCTCAAAATATAGTCCAGCCCCCCACAAGGTCTGAGGGAAAGAGGACCGGCCCCCTGCTGAAAAGGTTTGCCAGCCCCTGATCCGGTCCATGAAAGTGTATGCTGCAACAAATCTGCTGCACACAATCCCGAAGGCAGCCCTGTATAGGGAAGTTTTTAAGGTTTGATGTTTTATTATGCTTTTATATTATGCTCTCCCGGTATGCCCCACGGAGAGCCTCAAGGTCCATAAATAACAACACCCTAGTGGTCCCGGGCCCTAAGGAAGTTAGATTGGCTTCAACCAGAGCCAGGGCCTTTTCAACACTGGCCCCGGCCTGGTGGAACGCTCTGCCTCATGAGACCAGGGCCCTGCAGGATCTGATTTCTTTCCGCAGGGCCTGTAAGACAGAGTTGTTCCACCTGGCCTTTGGCTTGGAGCCAATTTGATTCCCTCCCTCTCTTTCTTTTTTCTTTTCCTTCTCCTCCTGCAATGAGGCTACATTTTAATATTTTAATGTTCCATTATTTTAATGCTTTATTTTATTTTTGTTTTAAGTTGTAATCATTCAACTTGTTTTTATTATTGCTTGTAAGCCGCTCTGAGCCCGGCCTTGGCTGGGGAGGGCGGGGTATAAATAAAAAAATATTATTTATTATTATATACTGTATGTCCTAAGCTGCCCAGAGTGGCTGGGGCAACCCAGTCAGGTGGGCAGGGTACAAAATATAAAATTATTATTATTATACATATCTATTCAGAAGTTCCCAAAGATATAAATGAGGCCTACCCCCAGGCAAACAGGTATATCCTATCGCTGGCTTGATTATTCTCTTACTGCACTACATAATTATTTGCTGTTCCTACTTTGATAAAGAACTTAAACTTGGGGGGATGCACTGGCTGCTGTTTTTAAAAGCGATGCGTCCACCTCATAACCTTGGGGGTGAGGTGGAAATCCGAATTAGAAGGGGAAAGTTGTACCACAAAAAAACCCGTCAGAAGATACAAAACTCTTAACAATTTTAGTTACAGATAGGTAGCCGTGTTGGTCTGCCATAGTCAAAACAAAAAAAATTCCTTCCAGTAGCACCTTAAAGACCAACTAAGTTAGTTCTTGGTATGAGCTATTTTGTTCATAGTAAAACAATTTTGTTTTACAAGCACTGAGCAAAAATCAGAGCCAACTGCCCTCTGGTTCCGAGCAGCCATGGGGCTTCTGTCAGGCCTAACAGCCCCCCCTCACCAGCCAGGCGACATTTTGGCCCATCCGTTGCTATAGGAACCTGCCCAAGGTCACGTGTCAGCCAACCTCTCAATTGCCTCCCACAGGCCAACGCCCCACCCCGCCGCGCGCGCCGTTCTGCGCATGCGCTCGTTCACGGGGTAACGGGGGGGCGAGAGGGAAATGGGTGCTTTACGCATGCTCATTAGAATGGGTGGCGCGCGCATGCGCAACGCTAGCGAGCATAAAAGACTTAAAACCCAGCGCTTGTTGGGGGTTTTTAATCAGAAGGGCCTGGAAAAGGTCGCTCTCTCACAGAAGCTTAAAAATAACGCGCAGGAGGAGAAATTACGTACTGGCGGTTAACCCGGTGTGGATTGTCCGCATGCGCAGAGCGGAGGAGAGGTGGGGGGGTGAAACCACTCGCGCATGCGTGGTGTCGGTGTTGGCTGCCGCTCCCTCCGTGACGTGAGTCCTTCCGCCGCCTGGAAGGGGCGGAGCCCCGCCTCTCGCCGCCGCCGCCGCCGCCGCCTTCCTTTGCCCGAGCGAGTCAGGCGGGGCGCAGCCATGGCCAAGCACACGGTCTCCTCCGCGCGCTTCCGCCGGGTGGACGTGGACGAGTATGACGAGAACAAGTTCGTGGACGAGGAGGACGGCGGCGACGGCCAGGTGGGCCCCGACGAGGGCGAGGTGGACTCGTGCCTGAGGCAATATCCTGAGGGAGACAGAAACGAGTCGCGGGGTTCGGGGGGGGGTCTCCCTTCCCATGGAGGGCGGGCGGGCTGAGGAGGGGCCCTTGGGCGCCGGGACAGGCGCTGCGCCTCCCCTGCCATCTCCGCTCCAGCCGGAAGGGACCTCGGGGGTCATCCAGCCCAACCCCCAGCAGTGCTGGGATCTTGTCGCCCAACCCCCCGCCCTGAGGAGCAGGGTCGCCCTGCCTGCCCGCCCGCCTGCCTGCCGAGGCCCTTGGCTTCTCCATCTTCCATCCCTTCCGCAAAGGAGGAGGAGGAGGAGGAGGTGGGTGGGGGCGGGGCGGAGAGAAAGGATGACAGGAGCCTGAACGGGGGCTGTGCTTCCTCCCCCGCCGCCGCCAGTATGGATGCAGTTTTTTGGGGAGGGGGCTTCTGCTACACCCACAGCCGGTGCCTGCTCGGTGGGAGCAGATCCTCACTCGAATTCCTCCCTCGTCGCGTCTGGCTCCCTAAGTGGGGTTTGCGAACCCTTCTCCCTTTCACAGAATTGTAAAGGGGCCCCAAGGGGTCCTTAACTCCCTGCAATGCAGGAGTCTCAACTGAAGCATCCAGGACAGATGGCCATCCAAGCTCTGCTTAAAAACCTCCAAGGAAGGAGATGCCGCCGCCACCTGATTGAATCCTCCACTGTTGAACAGCTCTCACTGTTCAGGTTAGGCTGAGAGACAATCTTGCTGGTTGGAAGAAAACCTTACAGCACACAAGAGCGCATCTTGGTTTTTAACCATGTGTGTTTACTTGGAAGTAAGGCCCACAGTCATGGGCTGGTTGTATTTTTCACCCACATTTCACACAGATGCTTTGTAGGCGGGGTATAAAGGGAACCTAGCTGACATTTGAACTTTTAACATTTCAGACCCATTCTGTACAACTGCAAACAATTAAGATATCTGTATATGCTTTAATCTGACAAAGGAGCATTGAGAGACCATTTTAAACCACACTGGCTCTGAGCATGAAGGCATCTCAATGTAGCCATTGTTTCAACAGACTGTAATGTTGAGGTTCACAGTCATGCTGTCCTGTAGTTCATGCTATTCCTCACAACATTTCTATGGAAGAAAAAAGAACTGTGGTGTAAAACAGAGAGTGATTTATGCAAGAACAAGAACTAACAGCTTTGGTTGAACATATATTTTAACTTTCCTCCACCTTCAATACACAAAGCTTTATCTTGCTTTCCTGCTGAACACACACACACACACACACACACACACACACTCTACTCTGCTCCTCCTTCAGGGTTCATTGCTCTTTTTTTCCACAGGCCAAAAGTTAGGTCTGGAACTTTTTCTTGATTGACACTCTATAATCATTTAATCACTTCATGGATTTTTTAAATTCAAAAGTGTGTGAAAGAGTTTCATGGTTGACAGCATTGTTGAAAACACACCTCTTCAATAATGTTAAAATTACTTGATCTGTTTTCCAAGCTGTGAATTCATGTGTCTGCATAGCATAGTTGAAGCTCATTTTTTAACATTCTCAAAAATACCCCATATCATGATACTGTAGTGTAGTACAATTTAATATTAAAAAATGAGATTGTTAATCAGCTAAAAATGTTTAGGCATATTCAGTGGGTCTACTTGTAAGAATTGCATTAGTCTGTGGATAGCTTTAGTAAGAGATAAGTGTTCGTGGGGCAGATGTTCTATTTTCATTAGAACTTATTTTGTAATAAGCTTCAGGCATATCTGAAAAGGAAAAAATAGCTTAATATAGTATAATCTGAATGGCTTAACATGGTAGCAGCTTTGCACATCTACTTTTATAAGTGTCTTTTCTTGCCGTTTGCCTGCACAGTCCTAAAGCATGGATTTGACAGTTACATCGAATTGAAGAACATGGGAGGAGGAGTCTGCAAAGCATTACAGCCTTCTAACTTCCTCCTGTCAGACTAAAACAGTAGAGGAAGTACACGAATTCAGTAGGGTCTTTCCTTTTATGGAAACAGTTGCATCTAGTCAGTGATAGTGCAACTGGTATTCAGTTCCATTTTGTAATCTTAAGCACACTCATTTGAGAACACAGTACAACTTATTTCTGGGTGAATTTTCATAGGATCAGGGAATTAGTGATT